CCCCAAAACCCCAAAACCCCAAAACCCCAAAACCCCTTAATAATCATTCCTAATTGAAATATTAAAATAGTAATGTCTGACATAAAACAAAGTCCAAGAGCACCTAGGAGCTACCCTAGTAAGGTTATAGAGCAGCTTAAAAAGGAGGTATTAAAAAACAAGCTAAAATTTTGTAAGAATACTGAAACTCCTGACCCAAAAGATCTTCTAAACAGAGAACTAGACTATAATCAAGAAGAGAAACATAATATAGTTGAAAGAGCTCCAAGCAAGAGGGAAAATTTTAATACTTCTCTTGATGATGGTTCAAAAAGCGAGTTCAGAATTGGCTCAAATAAAGCTCTAAAAAAATAATGAAATAAAAAGCATCATAGCCAAATTCAAAAGAACAAATAGCTGTGAGAAAACCTCTGCAGTGAACTCTAGTTTAAACAAATATTTTGATTCAAATACTAAGTAAGAACTAATCTATAATATTTCAGGTCACTTAATGACTCACCAAAGGTGTACTCGCAAGCTAAAAGCAGAAACTCTTTGTCAACAGTGACTCATTCGAAAATAATCCTCCCAAAGGTTGCAGAAGTTGATATAACAGGAAATCAGCCGAAATCCCCGAATTTGACGTTTGCCAAGGACGAAATCGAAGATGGAAAAGTTGACCAAAATTGATCTGTTATAAACACCAACAATAACCCCAAAGCTTACAAGTAATCAATAGTTTGGATAATTTATATTATTCATCATATTTTAGTTATTTAATGTCTATATTTTTTCTTAATCCTAATATATAGGCCTAAGAGAGTGGTTCAGTACTCAGGATCAGATAACGAAAAGTTACCATCCAGTTATCTCAAGCCAAAGAAGAAAGTCAAGGTTAGTCATATTTATCTCCTTTTATAAAATTTTATAACTCTGAAATAGTTGTCAAAATAACAAGAATAATTTGAATCAGAAAACATTAGATTCTTTATCAAAGATACAGAAAGTGAAGCCTTCAGATTCTAAAAAGCTGATGACTCTATCTCCTTATAAGTATCAAGAAAGTTTTAACAACACCATTGGATCAAATAAGAAGATGAAGCTCGGGCAGAGAGAAAGTTCTGTCCCTATAAAACCCCCTCGTAAAAGTTCTGCTTTCTCAAAAGAGTCACCTAAAATATTTGAAGATAGAGAGTTTAAAGTTCAAGAATATGGAGTTCCTAATTTTAAAAAGAACACAAGAGATATTTTTACACTTAGAAGACAGAAGAAAGATCACATGGGTGAAAGACAGAAACAAAAGGTCTCAAGTAGTTACAGAAATTACTCTAATTCAGTTCTGAGGAATGAAATTAAAGATATTTCAAGCAGAGAGCAGCCTAGATTTAAACACCTTCAGAAGGAAAAGCCTCGATTTGGTCTGCATGAAAGTTTTGACATCAAGAAGAATAAGAGCAGCACAGAGAAGATATTTATAAGAAGTGATTCCAACAAGTTGGATGCCTTAAGAAAATTTTGTAACCCAAAAACTCATTCAAAGAAGTATAAAAGAGAATTGCTGTATAGCTCTCACCTTCCAAAGATCAATAACTTGAAGAATAAGATCATTAAATCTTATGCTGAAATTCTTCCTTCAGTACTTCAGAGAAGCCTAGAGCATCATAAACCCGAAGGAGAAGATGCAGCTAGAGCAAAACTTGATCAGATCAAGAACACAATTATAGTAAATTATGGAGGATTTTCTGAGGGAGGTTGTGATCAAAGAGTCGCAAAGAAAGAAAACCAGGACTCTTATCTAACATTTGTTAACTTCAATAAATCTCAGACAACGAACTCTCATCTTTTTAGTGTTTGTAAGTACTATTCCACGATATATAGGTGATGGGCATGGTCTGAGCGGGAAAAGCATCAGTGATTATTTAGTTAAAAACTTAGCTAAATTCCTTAAAGTATACCTAAATAAAGAAGGTTCAAATCCATCATATTCGCTTCTCTCTGCTTTTAGATATCTTGACTATAAGCTTGAGATGGATGGCCTTGAAGCTACCAATAGTGGCTCAACTTGATGAACTGCTCTTGTCATTGGCAAAAAGATTTATTTTGCAAACACAGGTGATTCTAGAGCACTATATGTAACCTTTGATCCAATGGAAGACACAATAAATCCCTCTGAGATCGAATCGACTATCGATCATAGCTGAGAAGCTCCTAGTGAAGTAAGAAGAATCAAATAACAAAGGAGGAAGAATATCAAGAATTCAAAATAATTTAGGGCCTTTAAGAGTTTGGCTCCAAAATGAACAAAGACCAGGACTCGCTATGGCCAGATCTGTTGGAGATCATTGAGCAAGAAAAATTGGAGTAATAGCAACTCCAGACATATTTAAATTCGAGATCTCTAGGAAATCTGCTCTTATTATTGGGAGCGATGGGCTATACCAATATCTCACAAACGAAGAGATTTGCCAAATAGTGTGGGACAACTGGGGGAAAGATGGAGATATTGTCTCTGAAATAGTTGTCAATAAAGCTATCTCAAACTGGGATCAGAAGCATTCCTATAGAGATGACATCACCTGAGTGGTAGCATATCTAAAACCTAATTTTGACAATTAATTCTAATTTTCAATCGAAAAGGGGATTAATCTCAATTTTCAATATTTGCTATTAAAAGGGGTTTTGGGGTTTTGGGGTTTTGGGGTTTTGGGG